TTGATGAATTTTGACATAGGTACATGACTGGGTAAACCACCATAAGAATCAGGATATAGAACGTATCCATCACTCCTTCTGCCCCTTTCCAGTCAGCCGCCTCCCCTCGCACTCAGCGCCTGGCAACCACTGGTCTGCTTTCTGTCACTATTTTCCAGTGTCTTTCACTTAGCAGGATGCTCTGAGATTCATTCATTTTGTTACTGAGTAGTATTCGACTACATGACTGTACTCTACTATTTGTTTATCTGTTCACCATTTGGTTGGATATATGGACTGTTTGCAGTTCTGTGCTATTATGAATAAAGCTGATTTTTTTGTATAAGTTTTTGTACCAGTTTTGAGTAAACATGTTTTCGTGTCTTTTGGTAAATAACTAGGCATAGAATCGCTGGGTCATATGGTAAGTGTATATTTAAATTTGTAAAAAACCGCCAAACTGTTTTCCACATGGCTATACCATTTTTAGTTCCCACCCATTTTTAGTTCTCCTCCCAATATAGGAGGTATTCAGGTGTTTCAAATCCTCATTAACACTTGGTATTGTCAGTCTTTAACTTCAGTCATTCTGGTAGGTGTATGTAGTGATAGCCCATTATGGTTTTAATTTGCATTTCCCTAATAAGTAATGATATTGAGCCTTTTTTCATGTATTTATTTCCCATCCCTGTATTTGGTGGAGTATCTGTTCAAATTTTTCTCATTTTTAATGATGCACCGAAATTTATCCTGGTATGTGGAGTAAATCCAACTTCATCTTTTTTTTTTTTTCCTGTGAAGATCAGCCGTGTGCTAACATCTGCCAATCCTCCTCTTTTTTGCTGAGAAAGACTGGCCCTGGGCTAACATCTGTGCCCACCCTCCTCCGCTTTATATGGGACACCGCCACAGCATGGCTTGACAAGTGGTGCGTCGCGTCCGGGATCCGAACCGGCGAACCCCGGGCCGCCGCAGCGGCGCGCTCGCACTTAACCTCTTGCACCACCAGGCCAGCCCCCAATTTCATCTTTTTTAATACAACTATCCAGTTATCCCCAAACCATATATTGAAAAGTCCTTCTTTTCCCACTGGTGTGTTTCCATTTTTATTGTAAACTTGATTTGTCTGTGTGGGTCTATTGCTGAATTTTCTGTTCTGTTCCTATGAAGTGCAGTTTTTTGAATTCTAACTAATAGGACTTTAAAAATATCCTAATTTCCTTTTTATTTGGCTACTTTGTCAGATCTGTAGCAATAATCTGAATAATTTTTTTAGAATATGTTATAGCTTCTCTTTTTTTTCCAACATTAGTAATTTGTTATTAGCAATGAAAATTATACATTTTCTTTTTTGTTCAGGGATTTTGTTTGCTAAAATATTAGCGCTCTAAAATGCAACTTTGGGAAAAGAAAAAGCTTGATGAGAATCAACAGTGCTTATTGTTGTTATCTCTGTTTAGAAGATGTCATTTCATAAAATCTGACTTTTTGGTTTAGATTTCAAATAGTTGTTAACCCACTTCTCATGCAACTTCCCCTCTAATCCGTGTAAAACAACTCTCTCTCCCTTAAGGATACCAGTAGGCTATGTGCTTAGAGAATTATTAATCTTTGTAAGAAATAGAAGTAGAAAATGTCTACCCACCTTTCTCAATTAACTCAGCTCTTTTTTTGTTTTCATTCTTCTCATTTCTCACCATTTCCCCCAAGTTGTTCTTCCAGGTGTATTTATCCTGGTTATACAAGATAGCGTAAAGAATTTGTAGGATACTTGTTGCTAAAAGAACTATACTGGTTGCTAGAACTTTGGAGGGAAGTTGTGATTCATCAAGTAATCCCTGTTCTGAAAGCTGCCTGGAGTGTAAGATGCACACCCTTTCCACAGAGGTTGTATGTGTGATGACTAGGTTCCCAGGTCAGGGGGTGACAGTGTTGCTGTGGAAAAGAACATTTAGAATTTTACCTTGGGGTGTCACAGTCCATCTCCCTGATTTGTCTCATCTTGGTTACTCATTTATCAAATATTTACTGATTTTTTTTTTTTTCCTTTTAATGTGCTGGTAAGGGAGTCCACATTTATTGAGGGAGTGGGAGGAGGGAGAGTTAGTGTTGAGGGCTGGGTCTCAGAAAGTGAAAAGAAAGAAATAAAATAACATCCAGTGCTCAGGGAGTTCATGGCTACCTGCCTCAACTTTTCCTTTCTATCTGTACTAACTATGATATAAGAATTCTAGCTTCTGCTACTGACATGGGATCCTACAGTCAGGGATTTTTGCAGTCCAGGTACTGGAGAATGAGAGACGATTGCTTTCACAGAGTAGAATATCAGAGATGAGACCACTTTTTATTTTTTTCAGATTTTATACTCTTGCTTCTCAGCCCCTGCCAAGCATTAAATGGTTGACCTCTTGTCTAAGTGCTATATATTGAAGAATTCCTTGACTTAATTCTCTTTTCTGTTTTAGGACCTCCATCATACAGTTGTCATTATTGTGGTTTTATGCATTTTAGTGTTAACTAGAGTGAGTGTTCTGTCGTAACTCTTTTTTAAAAAGTAATTTTTCTGGATGTCTTATGTATTTATTTGTCCAGATGATCCACCTCTACTTTCCAAATAAATTCCATTAAGGATTTTTTTTTTTGGCGAGGAAGATTATCCTTGAGCTAACATCTGTTGCCAATCCTCCTCTTTTTGCTGAGGAAGATTGGCCCCGAGCTACATCTGTGCCCATCTTCCTCCACTCCATATGTGGGACACCTGCCACAGCTATGGCTTGACAAGCGGTGCGTTGGTCCATGCCCTGGATCCGAACCTGCTAACCTCCTGCCGCTGAAGCTGAGTGTGCGAACTTCACCACCACACCACCGGGCCAGCCCCTCCACTAAGATTTTGATTGCAATTTTTATTCAATTTATAAATTGATTTGCAGATTATTGATACCTTCACAATATTAGGTTTTTCTCAATTTAAGAATAGGTTTTAATTTATATCCCTCACTAAAGTTTTATAGTTTTTTCATAAAGTATTTTAGGTTATTTTTATTGTTATTATTAAAGTTATATAGTCTAACTGGCTATTGATGTTACTTTGGGAAGCTATTTATTTTTGCATACTTATTGAAAAACCATCTTAAGGAACTAATCTAAAATATTTTTAGGTTATTTTCTTGACAAAATAATATCATCTGAAATGATGGAATTTTGTCTTTTTTCTAATATTGATATCCCTTATTCTTCTTATCTAGTTTTATCAGCACTTCCAGAGTGATGTTAACGACTATGTTGATAGTGGACATCAATGTCTTAAGTCTGATTCTGCTTTTAAATTGTGTTGGTATTTTGCCATTAAACATGATACTGTCTATTGGTTTGAAAAAGTTTTTTAAAAAGTCCTAAGAGATTTTTTTACTAATCAGGATTAATTTCTTAAACTCTGGTACCCTTTGCAAGATTTCTTTTATTAGTTCTGTTTTCCAGCTAGGATATGTCATTTTTCATTGGATCAAATTGCCTGCTGTGTTAACTAGTCTCTGCACTTTTTGTCCCTGTCCCTGTTCATCTATGCCCTGAATTGCTGTATACCGGTTCTTTTCCCAAAATCAGTTGCGGTCATGTTTACTTATAGTCCAGGGAATTGTAGCGCTATAACATCTTTCCATGCTATGTAAAGAGAAGTCCAGGCTTCTCTGACTATTTATTATTTATGTTCCTTTGTGATCAGCGCATATGCCTTTCCATTCCTCACCTCTGTCAAGAATTGTGAAGGGTCTGAGATCTTACCCTGCTTGCAAGCTAACATGTTAGCCTGTATCATTTCATGGATCCTGGCAGAAGACGGTCGTTTCCTGGGCCAGAGTTGAGGACAGTTTATTACTCTCAGCAATAGCAGTAACCCAGTATCATCATTTTTCTTGTAGAGATTACCCAAGCCCCAGTTTCTGCAGGGTGACGTGATGAGGGACATCTGTACATACAGTCAGTTGCATTCCAGGAGAGGACCCTGAACATTCTCTGGAATCTCAGCCTGCTTGCTTCTTAAATCCGCCCTTTCCATTCTGTCCACCAGCTTCCTCTCCACATCATCCTAGTTTAAGACTCTGTCTCAGACAGATGCTTTCTCCCACACCCCCCATTGTAGACCTTGTGTCTTCAAATGTGCTGCTTATCTACCATATTCCTTCTATTCCAGACACTCCAGGGACCCTTCTTGGTTTGCACAGTGGCCTCAGTCTTTTTTCTCGTTTTGCACAGTTTGTAAGTCCTGTTATCTTTCTTGCCATACCATGCTTTATCCGTGTCTTAGTATTTACAGTGCCTGCAGAGACATTATTTATTTATTTTTTTGTTGCTCTCAGAACCTTTAGGGCAGTGTATCGGATAGGAATGTGTTTGGTTGCAAGGAACAGATAACCCATTCCACAGTGGGTGTAATGGCTAGAGTTTTTCTGTTTATAGTTTTCTTTTTCATGTAAAAAGTCTGGAGATAGAAAACTGCTGTTGTTGATTCCACTTTTTTAGCAATACCCTTTCCTCTAAGCTTTTCCATATGCTCTTCCCACCATCTGAAATTCTCTTTTTTTTATATCTGCAGTTCCTAATTATACCCATCTTTTAAATTATAAGCTCTTCTACAGAGTCTGCAGAAGACTTACTTCCTAGGTGAAAATATTCTTTCTGTATATACTTCTAGGTACTTCTAAGCTAGAAAATGGCCTTTATCATTATCTGCATGTAGGTATATGTGTATGTATATATCTTTCCCACTAGACTTTAAATTCCGTGTCTGTGGTGTATCTTTTGTTACCCTCCAAAAAGTGCCTTGTTTAATGTAGACACAATTTTAGCAGATAATGTAGTTTACAGGAATTAAATGTACATATTGCTGAAAGGAACACCTTTATTGTGTAAATTAGTGTCTTTACGAATATTTCTTTAATGCTATTAAATGTATCTTCACGTACTATCAGAACATTCTATTAATATTATGTGGGAATAAAAATGGAAACTATTCTTTCTTTCAGTGCTTAGATGAATATGAAGATGATGAAGCAGGGCAGAAAGAGCGGAAACGAGAAGATGCAATTACACAACAGAACACGATGCAGAATGAAGCCGTAAGCTTATTAGAACCAGGCAGTTCATATTTGCTACAAGTGAGTATTTCAAAATACCAGGAAGTCACTAGCTATTTTAACAATAATTTTTAAGTCACTGTTAATAATTCTTCCAGTCTCATTTTGATTCCATCTGCTCCATTTAAATATTTTCAATGGATTTAACCACTGATTTTCCTTATATCTAAATGCTTTTTGACTTAAGCAGTGTTTGGTCCTTAGTTCCTGATCGATGAATATTTGCTGACTGACTGACTAAACAGGTTTAAACAGTATCAACTGTAAAAATAAGCACGAAAAATAGTTACCTCTTTGCTGTTAAAAAAGTAAGAATTAGTAAGTTTAAGTGAGCGAACAGTTCTGCTCTAGGCTGATTGATATTTGCGTTAGAATTAGATAGCAAATAAAGAGTTGAGCAGCAAGTTTCTGCAAAGTGAAATGTTTAAACATAATAATAAAACACAGTATGTGGTACTGAATTGCCAAAAACATCTATATGTGTAACTATAACATACTTTTTAAAATAAAATTTAACTCAGTTTCAAATTAGTTGTTATTTTGGGTTCTTCTGGCACAGAAAATTGGGAGTTGGTGTATCGGGATACCTCAGTATAAAGCAAATCCTTCTGCAGAATCATTTTACGTAAACTATAATTTGGGAATGATTTTGATATAATCTAATCTTAAATTATTTTGATGGCATTTTGAGATCTTAAAATACTGTGTTGTCTTTTCAGAGTTCCTGTTTTGACTTTTTAAATGCATTTTCTTGTGATACCACTTTAAAAGGAGTACCCGAGCAGTACACACATCTCCCCATTTTATTGATTAAAAAATGAAATATTGTCTATTAATTTGCAAGGTTATGATAAAAGGCATTTGGCAGAGAGAGCAAAAATTTTGAAGTGGTTTGGAAATGCGGATGCAGAACTTCTGTCTCCTCTGCTCATTGAGGCAGATGCATTGACGTGAAGATTCCTAGAGTGATGCAGGCGTATCTGTCCCCTGTACCCAGGCTGCTGCTGTGAGAAGTAGATCCCTATTATAATGTGGTGTGAGCTAACGGGCAGTGTGTCTCTCAGCATCTATGTGACTGTGTGTGATCTAAAATATCTTTGTATCCTTTGTCTAACAAAGTTGAAGTTAAATCTGAGCCTATTCCAGGTGAAGATACAGACTTAATTTATTGGGATAGAGACAATGTAGCATTTAGATTAAAGGTCTAGACCTGGTTTCAATTCTGGGTCATCCTACTTACTCTGGCATACTCAACATCAGGCAGCAGCTTTCACAAAGAGGGCTGATTTCTTTCTGTTGAGTTTCCTTACTCACTCAAAGCTGGGGAGCCTGGTGTTCAACACATAGCTTATTCCCAAATGTATACCCAGATATGGAACAGTCTCAGCTGCCGTGAGCTCTCTGAGGAGATTTCTGCCTTATCCAGTCTGTTGTCTTTCCTATAGCTTTTCTAATCTCTTCCCAGGCCCACTCTTCATTTCTGTCATTTTTGTTTATTTGTTTGTTTCATTAGCAATTAGGATGTGACTCATTGGTGACTTTGGTTCCAAGTGTCTATTTTGCCAAGCTGTGTGCTCAGGATGAAAGTGAGGTTCAGACTGTCCCATGGGTCCCATATTGCCTCATTGAAATTGGAGTGGAAACGGGAACTCCTCTGTCTACATGGTGATGTCTCACTGAGTTACCACCTAAGCTCGAATTTTCTGTTACTTACATAGGATAGATATTGATTTATAACTCCTTCAAAAACAACAAGGAGAGAGAGAAAATATTGGCATCATTGGTTGTTTTAAGGCTTTTTTGAATAGGACAGAAATATCAATTTGGCATAGCAGTATGCTTTGTGAAAGGTTAGAGTATTTTAAATTTCTGTTTGAAATTTTTCAAATAATGTGGAGTATTGGTAATAAAAATGAGAATTTAAAAGTTTCCCTATGTTTTTAGCTATGATTTTACATATATTTAACCATGTATGTTTTTTAGATAATCATGCCAGTTTTTAAAGTAGTATATTAATTCTCTGATTAAATAACATATGATCAATGGAAAATTTGAAAAATACTAAAACATGTAAAGAAAGGGGAAATTACTTAGTTTGGTCTATTTCTTTACTCTCCATGTTTTTATGAACTATTTATTGTTTTATTTATTTTTTATTCATTTTTTTTAAAAAGATTTTTATTTATTTATTTTTTTCCCCCCAAAGCCCCAGTAGATAGTTGTATGTCATAGCTGCACATCCTTCCAGTTGCTGTATGTGGGATGCGGCCTCAGCATGGCCGGAGAAGCGGTGTGTCAGTGCGTGCCCGGGATCCAAACCCGGGCCGCCAGCAGCTGAGTGCGCGCACTTAACCGCCAAGCCATGGGGCCGGCCCTATTTATTGTTTTAAAATTTAACCTTTATTTATTTTTTAAAACATATACTCACGTGGTAAAAAAAAATGCAAAAAACATAAAAGGGTATATGGTACAAAGTCTTCCTCAGCTACCTGGTTATCGTCCTTGGAGGCAACTAGTGCTTTCTTTTCTTGTATATCCTTCCAGAGGTAGTCCATAATCAAATTTATATCTATATGTATATCTGTATGTCTATTTACATATTCCTGATTTTAAGCATGCTCCTGTGCCTCTTGTTCTTTTCACTTAATATGGTGAGGAGACTTCCACAATAGTACATAAAGAACTTCTCTATTATTTTTTGCAAATGCAGAATATTCTATTTTATAGATGTACCATATTTTTTCTAACTAATTCTTGTTGATGTTTTGCATTTTGAATTATTTTCTTTGGCCAGATTTCCAGAGATAAACTTATTGGGCCAAAAAGCTTAAAGCAATGTAAAGATTTTAAAAATTTCTGATACATACTGCCTTAAATTACTTAAGAAAAAGGTTTATCAGTTTATATGGTTAATGGCATTTTGTGAAAGGGCGTTTATGAGTTGTATGTTTCTTCTCTTTTTTATTTATTGATTGATTTTCCTCTTAAAACAATCTCAAGGTTACTGAAAAGTTGCAAGTACTGTACAGAGAACTTTTTCCTCCTAAATTGTTTGAGAATAAGTTGCTAACCTGATACCCTATTACCCCCAATATTTTACTATGTGTTTTCTACAAACAAGATCTCCTACATAACCACAACACGACCCTTAAAATAGGAATTTAAAATGGACACATTCTTACCATCCCATATTCAGACCTCGTTCAAGTTTTGCCAGTTGTCCCAATCATGTCCTAAATTTATAGCAAAAGGATGTAATTCAGAATCATGTGTTGCTTTTAGTTGCGGTATCTCTTTAGTTTTCTTCAATCTGGGATAGTTTTATAGTCTTTTGTTAACTTTCTTAATCTTGATAACACTTTTAAAAATTATAGGTCAGTTATTTTGTGATATGTCGTTCAATTTGGGTTATCTAATGTTTACTTATAATTAGATTCAGGTTATATGTCTTTGTCAGGAATATCACAGAATTGATGCTAGTTTTTCTCCTTGTGTATGCTGTCAGGTGGCACATCATTTTAATTTGTCCCATTGCTGATGATCATTACTTTGGTTATGAGATTAAGGTGGTGTTTGCCAGGCTTTACTTCTCCTTCTTAATAAGTATTTTGTGGTTAAGTGCTTTGAACCATGTAGATATGTTAATCCCCATCAAACTTTCTATCTCTATCCATTTATCTATCATCTATTTATTTATATATCTGTATCAACTCACTATTACCTATTTTATTTGATGGGTTATACCCCATTACCCTCTGTATTAGTTTTCTGTTGCTGCTGTAATAAATTACCACAAAATCGGTGTCTTACAACAACACAAACATATCTTCTTACAGTTCTGTAAGTAGAAGTCTTACACAGGTCTCCTTGGACTAAAATCAAAGGATAAAATCAGGGATGCATTCCTTTTTGGAGGCTCAAGGTGAGAATTGGTTTCTGTACCTTTTCCGGTTCTTAGCAGCTACCTGAATTCCTTGGCCAATGGCCTCCTTCCTCCTTCATAGCCAGCAACGGTGGGTTGAGTCCTTCTCATATCGAGCCATTCTGACCTTTTCGTCTTAGGCATGTCTCCCTCTGACCTTCTGCCTCTCTCTTTCACTTTTTTTTTTTTTTGCTGAGAAAGATTGGCTCTGAGCTAATATCTGTGCCTATCTTCCTCTATTTTATATGTGGGATGCTGCCACACATGGCTTGAGCAGTGCATTGGTCCGTGCCCGGGATTTGAACCTGTGAACCTCAGGCCGCCAAAGTGGAGCACGTGAACTTAACCGCTACACCACCGGGCCGGCCCCTCTTTCTTCCACTTTTAATAACACTTGTGATTACGTTGTGCCTATCAGATAACCCAGGATAGTCTCCCTATTTAGGGTGGTTGATTAGCAACCTTAATTTCCCTTGGCCATGTAACCTAATATGTTCACAGATTACAGGGATTAGGGCGTGGACATCTTTGAGGGTCATTATTCTGCCTACCACACCATTATTATTTATTTTGATATTCAGATTATCCCAGATTTGGCCAGTGGGAGCCCCTTCAAACTTTTGTATCCTTTGCCACGTCTCCATCATTCTTGGAAAGCTTCCTTGTTTTCCACCATAATAAGATATTATAGGCCCATCTTTAACTTTCCTACCTTAGCCTTAAAAGCAGCCATTTCTCTAAAGAGCCCTGATTCCTTTTACTGGAAAATGATATTTTAAAGCCAAGATCTGGGCTGTAGGTATGTTCCTGTTATTGAGATGTCACCATTCCTAGTCGTTCTCTATGTACAGACCTATAAAATATATGTATGTCTACATGTAAACACGTATGTATATATATCTGTCTGTCTGCTGCCTGCCTACCTAGCTACATCTCTCTGTCTATCGAAATTAATTTATATTGATATCTCAATTCTAATCTAATACCATAGGGTAACTGCCTTTTGTGACATCGAGAAACCTATTTCCCATCATCCTTAATATGTTTTCTCATTTGTTCAGTCCCCCCGTGTGTAACCTATCTCCTATTGCCACCCCTTCCCATACATATGCACTCCTCGCCACAAGTGGGTTCTGACATACCATGTTGGCTCTTCCTGTGCATGAATAGTCTCCTCACTTTCTTCAGGCTTGGGCATCCCATGTGAGGCTGCAGGATGCCCTCTTTACCCTACTTGAGTTGTGACTCCCCACACTGGATCACCCTCTTCTGTGGATTCTTTCCTACCTTGCTTAGCTTCTGCCATCCGGTGACAGGCTCCTCTGCCCTAGGGCCTTTCTTTGTTCCTGCTCAGACTCTGAGACCTCATGCTGGAATGCTCCTCCATGAGAACCCCTCCTCGACCTGATTGGGTTTTAACACTTCCAGGCCAGGCTGTCACTCTGTGTGGACAGTCACTTTATCCTGTTTGGGCCCTGGCACATCACCCCTGTTCATCCCTCTGCAGAGATGCTCTCTCTGTGAATTCCCCATGCCAGGCTGCCTCTTTGAGAGTATACCTTTTCTACCCTTCTGGGGCCCTAAAACCCCAGTTTGGGCCACACTTCTGAATGGATGACCATCGCACCCTGCTTGGGGCTCTCGACCTCCCTTCCTGGGACTCCTGTTCTGACCTTGCCTCAGGACCGATAACCTACTTTCCTTTTCGCATTTTGTAGACACTCCTCATTCTGCTCAGGCTCTGATTTCTCAGGCCAAACCAAGTCCCCATGCTGTACTGATGCTCTCCTCAGATTGCTTGGACTCTGATTCTCTCTGCCAAGCAGCTCTTCTTCATGGGGGGTGAGTACTGTATTCCCATACCTTGGTTTGGGCCACTGTTTTTCCGCCCCACCTTCCTCTGCCCCACCTAACAACTTTAGGACTGAATTGTTCGGGAAAGGAAGAGGAAGGATGAGTTTTTCCTTTTCTTTTTGTTTTTGCTTGAGGAAGATAAGCCCTGAGCCAACATCTGTGCCAATCCTCCTCTATCTTGTATGTGGGTTGCCGCCTCAGCATGGCTGACGAGTTGTTAGGTCCATGCCCGGGATCCAGACCTGGGCCGCCAAAGCAGAACCCACTGAACTTAACCACTGTGCCACGCTGCTGGTCCCAAGTTTGTCCTTTTTTAATCTTTGTTAATTTTATAAAGTTCTTGTTTTATTTTCTCAGTTATTTTATAAATTATACATGAGATATTTTGTTCTGCATTCATCATCAACAGTGTACATATCTTGCTACATTATGTATATCAGTAAAGGTATTTTATGTTAGTCCGAGGGCCGATTAGCATATTATGCCATAATTTTACTGAGGGCTGTGGCTTTGTTGCCAAGTGGTTTATTGGAATAACTTCAGTATTGTTTTGCTATATTCTACTGGGCTTGTATTTGTCTGATCTTATTTCACATATGCTTTTATATTTGTCTATACTTTACAAGTTCTGATCTGCCACTGCACCTGTAAAGACAATGTTCATGGGATTTCCTTATTGACCAGTCTAAGCTTGAATGAAGCAGAATGTTTTATTTAAACTGACACAAAACAGTTTGTGCTTTGCCAGCATTTTCTAAGCTCTACATAGGTCTTTCCCCCTCCCGTTAGTAATAAAAACCATCCCATTGCAAGGAAGATTATTTTAGGAAAAGTATATTTTAAATCAGTTGTGTAACAGCCTTTGGGGTTATTGGAAGGTCTTATTACGTAGTCTTGGAAACTTTTAAGACCACTGTCAGTCTTAGCAGTTGTATTTTTTACAAGCTAAAAAAATACAGTTACAGTGATACTGGTATTTCTCCTTTTTTCTCCACATTTAGAATGGAATTGTCAACTTTAACAGTTGTATTAATTATTAAGTTGTCACCTTTCTCTTGGAAATCTTTGTGGCCATAGAAATATCTAGGCTTCTAGTTAACAAACATAAAGTGGAGTTTATATTTGTATAGAATTTTATGTTAATGTGTAGGAACATCAAGCATTTTCCTCCTTAAAATAATAAGGGACTCTTTCGCTGTGCCTGTGGGTTGATTTTGTTTTTTTCTAACATTTCTCATTCAGCATTTGCCAAGTTTTCTCTTTTTGGCAGGGGTATAGAGATCACTGTAAACTCCATCTGTAATTGTCGATTTTGAATACCCATGAGAAGCAGGCTACCGCCCCTCCTAATCTCTACTACTACTAATAGTAATGTAGTCTGTCCAATTTGGGGAACATTCCATTGTTAAGGAATGTAATTCGATTACTAGAATCACTGTGAAATAATATTTAGCTACAAAATGTATTCTAATAAAAGACCATATTCAACTCTTCCAATAAAGAATAAGCTTATGTTCTCTGTTTGCTTCAGAATCTTACTTATTGACATATTAGTTATATAGAAGTAAGCTTAAATTCTAATTGTTTACACATCTTGGGCATTAGCATGGAGTGATTTGATGAAGTATGTCAGAGTTCTAGTTTTATCAGTTGCACCAAACCAGCTGTATAGAAAATACTGTATAAAACTTACTAGTTGTTTTAAAAAAAAGTGACTAGTTTTAAAAAAAAGGCTTAAGAAATGTAGAAAACTGATATTATGCAACTTCCTGTTAGTATGTTTAACTGAAAACTTGTCTGATACTGACTTTAAGTCATTTATAGTTGGGTCAAAGTATAAAATTAGTATAATGTCATTATAGATTAGTGTTGCTGAAAATGCCCTCCATTTCACCTTTCTGTATTTGTTAAAGTTCTACTCTAAATCTGTATTAGTCAAAATTTTACTGTATTCGGGAAAGTGCCTATTTTAAGCCTGAGAAATATTATTTACTGCCAGGTTGTTCATACCATTTCAGTCGATATATCAGTAACCCACAAATCAGTAAAACCAACAGGGCTATTCTCATTTAGCAATTCTGCTTTCTCTATCTCAGTCAGAGTTAGTCTAGGTGATCAAGCTGATGTCACACGTTTTGAAATATTTCAGTTATAACTAAAATGAGAGAGATGTTTTGAAACTCATGGCATTATTAGCATTTTTTTCCTAATGCATATTTAGACATACATCATTTAAGGTACATGCCTTAGCTTTTGTTCATATAGAATAAGATGAGGAAACTTTATTAAAAAAAACTTTTATAAAATGTTAATTGAAATACTGTTTGGGAAGCTCTAAGGGAAAAAGTTCCATATAAAATCATTATCATCTGCATTCGATAAAATGTACTTTGGATGGATACACATAAGCTTAATATTTCCTCCTGCTTTATCTAAATAACCAGTGATTAAACATTTTGATCTAGTTATTATGGTTTCAAAGATAATTTAAAAGCTAGATTTTATAAAGTATATTCTTGGTCGTTATTCATGTTTTTATAAATAGGAGATCTGTTTTATGTGCTTGGTGCACAATGTACTAAGATCTGTCTGCCTCGTCTTTGGTGGCTGCCAACTGAGTGACAAGGGGCTGAGAAGCTCTTTAAGCTGTGCTTGCTAGGCTTTGGTTCCTGTCTTGCTGCATGATCAGCTGACGCCCAGGGGAGGGTGAAAATGCCTTTGCCCAGCTGTCAAAGCGTGGCTTCCCCAGAAGTGATCCTGTTAAGGGGTCAAGCCCACACACACGGGCACTTTAGTGTCCTGTCACCTGGTTACTTCCTGCCACTGCTTAATTCTGAAGTGGTGCTTTTTCCGAAACTGCAGGTTACTAGGAAACTGATTTCCGTAAATTGTCAATATATATTTATTGCATACTGTTTGAGCTGGGAAAAAGGAATCAAAAGTGGGGGTTCCTTCCTTCCAGAAGCTTTTGTTGTACTTAGAAAATAAGACATATGAGATAAAGTTATATATAAATAAGTGATTTAGGCTGTTGTAATGGGAATATATTGAATTGGAATAATTAAGATAGATTTACTAAAATTCCATATAGAAAAATTGATAAAGATTTTTCCATATCCTAGTTTATTTTTTAATCTTAGCTGTCAAATTTAATTGTAAGCCTATTGTAAAGGAGTTGTGCTAATTGTTTTATTATGCACTTATGTCATTTAATCCCCACAACAACCTCATAAAATAGACATTGTTTTTACTCCTGTTTTAGAGATGAGGAAACTGAGACTGACAGAAGTTAAATAACTTACCCGTAGTCTCATAGCTGCTGAGTGGCCTGTCGGGTTGGAATTTGGATCTAAATCTTACTCTTAACCATGTGGTTTGCTGTACTGTTCCCCGCGTTAATGTGTCCTTTATTGTCCCATGCCATCAGTATTTGCTGTTTTACTCTGGAATCTGGTCATCTTATAAAGTGAGCTTATTCTCTGATTTTAACCAGATGAGAAATTCTTTAATTGTGGGGTCTCACTTGGAGACTTTTAGTGATTAATTGGAAAAGTTTATCATCAGTTTTTAAAAAGGCACATCATTTAATTTTGACTGGTTTTATTAAAATGAAACTGCAAAAATAGTTGGAGAGCCTGGAATATCAAAAGACTGAACAGAGAAATGACTGCCCGGTTAGTTGCAAGGTAATAATTGCCCATCCCAATGGTTAATGTTTATTTTCAGCAGTCTTTTTTTTTGGTAGCTTAGAATCAGCATAAAAAGTATTTTCTCTCTTTTTATTTTTAGCTGCCTTTAAAAATAAGCATTAATTATTATATGTATCTGGTGAATTGTAGCTATTTTTAAAAAAATGAGGGCGTTAGAAAGACTGGAAGGGGTATATATATATATTTATAATGGTTGTGTTTTTTAATACTCGTTGACTTCCAAAAGGATTTAGGCTAATTGGTTGATGAATGATACTCCCTTTGTCCATTTCAAAGCTTTTAAAATGCTTCCAAATTATAATTTAAAAAAAATGATTAGTTTTATCTGAAAAATCAGATGCAGGGTCTTGTTTTGTTTGACTAGCAATATGAATTTTTAAAAGTAAAGGTAATTATTCCAAATTAGTTTCTTGCAAAATTAGACATTATCTGTCAACTATTTTATATAATCTGGAATTGTGTGCTTGCATATACACCCAAATTGATATGTCATTATTTTTACTTTACAGGAGCCATCTAGAACAGTTTCAGGAAGATACAAAAGGTAAATATCCTTCAGTTATGACTTACAACATATTGTAGACTTGAGTGTAATGTCTGTCTGAACATGGCGTAACTAACTAGAACTGTTTCAAGCAGCTTTTTGAAAGATAAGAAATCTTAATATTGTGCTCTTAAAAAGAAATTACATTGTAAGCAGGAGAGTACTGTCTGTCTGACCGTGACTTATTTTGACGTAACCTGCAGTCTTTGAAAACTGCACACACCATGAATTTGCATGGGCCTGATGAACTTAGCAAAATAAAAGCTTAGAATCATTTTCACTTATGTACTTAAACATTGAAAATACAAGCATACCACCTGTATTAGTCAGGTTCGGCTGCCGTAACAAAATACCATAGACAGGATTGGCTTAAACAGACATTTATTTTCTCACAGTTCTGGAGGGTAGATGTCAGAGATCAGGGTGCCAGCATGGTCAGGTTCTGGTGAAGTCCCTCTTCTAGATGGTAGAATGACAACTTCTTACTGTGTCCTCACATGGTGAAAGGGGCTAGGGAGCCGTGGGCTCTCTTTTATAAGAGCACTAATTCCATTTATGAGGACTCTACCTTCATGGCCTAAGTACCTCCCAAAGCCCCACCACTTCATACCATCACTTTGGACATTAGGATTTCAAATATGAATTTTTGGGGGACACAAACATTGAGACCATAGCACCACCTCTACACGAGTATCGCTTTTACCAGAAAATGTGTTTGAGTGTCTGTGCACGTATGTAGGAAGAAAATCAGAATTAGCTATGAGAAGTTGTTTAATGGAGATGCCTGGGATATTAGCTTTCTTCTTCCCTGTTGAAGCCATAAAGGTTGCAGAAGATGTGGTCATACTTGGGCTAATAATCATAGAATAATGGTAAATCTTACCAAGTGCTTATAATGTCCAGGGTGCTTTTACATAGAGATCTCATTGAATTCTCACAGTTATCTTACAAGATAGGTACAGTAGGTACAATATTTACTTTTCATTTCGTAGATGAGGGAGGTGGGATTACAGAGGTAGAATAATTTCACTGGGGTTACAGAGCTAGTCAACAGCAGAATATAGGTTTGAACTCAGGCAGCCTGACTCCAGAACCTGTATGCTTGCACGAGACCGTCTACCTAGATTTATACATATAAAACCTTTGTTTTCATCCATTTGTGTCTTAAAGTTTGAAATAACTGGTTAAAAGTCTTGATTATTATATTCCATCTAAAATAAAACATGGATTAAGAGCAGCTCCAATTTTAATACTAAATTATGTATAAATAAAATTCAATTTTTAATTTTTACCATGGGCCGTAATATCTATTAGTGGTAGAAAGAAGTAAGGCGGCCAAGGTAATCGACAATTGAATAAGTAGGTCTGAAACCGTTTCTGTTGAACACAATATATTTGCTACTGCTTCTATTTTCATTTCTGAGTAATTTTGATTTAGGTATAATGAAACTTGTGATTCTTTTAAGCTTCTAACATTTATACATTGCTTGGTAATTTTTTACTTAACACAAACAGTTTAAACTAGGAAGAATCTTTTTTCTTTTGCCAGAAATCATTGCCATCAAATAGCTTTGATTTGTTGTATTTCCAGGCCACATTCTCAAACCAAAAAAGTTTTTATCAATTTTTGGTTTGGGGAAGAAAGATAAATTTCAGTAACTTATCAAGTTTGTTGTATCAGTCATACATATTTAGTTCTTATTAAATAATAAGCCTTAAGTTATGATTGGCACTTTTCAGATTTGTGTTCTTTAACTAGAATCCATAGAGGCATCATTTTCTTATGAATCCTTATCAAAAGCTTTATTTGCATATCATTGTGGTAAATCAGGAAGAAAATTGGTTTCCCATGGTGTGTGTTTTTCTGTTTTAAAGCTTGTTGGACCATTGATTTACTTGTGACCTGTTCATGTACTTGTACTTCTTTTATTTTCATAGCCTAGAGCATGTGGTTTGTTACTCACCAGCTTTCAAAGGTTGAGCCCTATTCAATACTGTTATAAAAAATATATGTATATTTTTAAGTTCCTAGTTATTATTCACTGACGCAACAACTTGTGGTTTGAATACTGTCTGTAAAAGAAAAAAAAACACTAAAAATAATAAAAACTAGAATCTGTATCTGCAATTATCAATTACTTATCTAGAAGAATTTGTTATATTTTACATCAACAGTTCATTACTTGCATTAATCTGTCAGTAAGTTACAGCAGTAACTAGAGAATGGATGTTTCTTGGTGAGGGTGTCTGCTGACTAATGGGAATGAAGAGCAGGAGGAATGGGCTGAAGGATAAAAATTTGCTATCATATATTAGAAAATATTTTCAGTGAAGCAAATAACATATACATAGAGCTAGACAAACTCTTAAAAAGCCATTAGAGGGCATAAGCACCCACAAGACTAGTTTGTATGTGTGCTCTTATAAATTATGAATTAAATATTTAATTTTGTAAATATCAAGAATGTACTTTTTGAGCATTGAGTCTGTTAAGCACTGATGAGTTATGCTATATTTTATTGACTTGACTCTTGTTTATCTAGAACATCTCTTATGTATTCATTGATTTCCTTTTTAAAACCTATTTAAATAACTTTAGGGAACTATTTGGAGGTGGGGCTCATGAAATTTCTGAAACTCTAGGTTTAGGAAAGTTGGATCATTGTCATATATATTTGTGGATTTTTTTTCTTTCAGTGTGGAATTTTATTTTATTTTTTTCTTCCCCAAAGCCCCAGTAGATAGTTGTATGTCACAGTTGTACATCCTTCTAGTTGCTCTGTGTGGGATGCGGCCTCAGCATGGCTTGATGAGCAGTGTATAGGTCCGGGCCTAGGATCCGAACCAGTGAACCCCGGGCCGCCGAAGCAGAGCACACGAATTTAACCACTACGCCACAGGGCCAGCCCGTGGAATTTTCTTCATAGAATGTTTACTTGGTTAAGTTTATAGTGCATTGGTTGAAATAAAATTTTTTAAAAAGGCAAGACAGATTGTTAGATGTGTGGCTGTGGACCCCCTGCTTGATATGATTTCTAAGTAAAACCTTTGTACACTTTAAAAAACAAAAACAAAAAGTGGTTAAGAGAGTTCTGAATGACTTGCAAAGGGCGAAATTAACCAGGGTGTATAATTTACCACTCTTGTTTCAGTGTGTAACTCAACCATCAGGAATGGTGCTGATTAAAAACATGGGAAGCAAGTTAAGACAAATATTAAGTTTTATCATTCTCACATAGAAAGTAACTGGTTCTTTTGTTTTCACAAATATATTTAATACAGTGTTATTTATTTTGTTAAGTAATATATTTGCAAGTCCTAAGTGCTTATAAGTCATCCTCCCCTCCAGTAACATTAATAGGATACATTTGTATAGCTTTTAACAGTATGCACACCACCTTCACGTGCATTACCTAACAATAGCCCCATTAGGCAGCTGCACAGGCAACCTCTTTCCAAAATGAGGAAAAAGGCTTTAGTACCACATTCTCTCTGAGCATAAATTAGTTAAGAGAGGAAATATTACAAGTATTTGTTTTTGTAAAGAGCATGGACACATCAGGATATGAATGTTAGAAAGAATTAACGTCAAGCTGGCCCAGTGGTGTAGTGGTTAAGTTTGGCGCAGTCTGCTTTGGTGGCCCAGGTTCACGGGTTTGGATCCCAGGTGCGGACCTACACCACTCATTGAGTCATGCTGTGGTGGCAACCTACATACAACATAGAGGAAAAATTGGCATGGGTATTAACTCAGGGCCAGTCTTCCTCAAGCAAAAAGAGGAAGATGGGCAACAGATGTTAGCTCAGGGCCAATTGCCCTCACCAAAAAAAAAAAAAAGAATTAACATCTTAGCTAAAACCTAAGTGCAAAATCTTATTTCAAATCTGTAATGTTTCATGTTATTATTATACTTCTATAACTATAACTCATGTAGCTTCATCAGGACTTTTCTTCCCTTATAATGTTTTGCAGTTACTGAAAAGCATTAGGATAGAATTTTTATACAGCTTAAAAATTATCTTCATTTTAAAAGCAATCCTCACTATTGAAGATTTGGATTATAAAAACCTACTCATAATCTTACCACCCAAATCAATCACTATTAACATTATTTTTATGTTTTACTTCCAATATATTTTTCTAGGCTTTTTATTGTATAACTGTGAGCATAGTGGATGTACAATTTTTCATTCTGATTTGCTCCTTAGATAATGTAACACAAGTATCTTCCACTTTTGTTTTCAGTTGTATAAAGAATGGTATCAACTGAGAGATCTCTGCTGTTCTCCTTTTCAGTGATGTGTAGCATAAGTATACCAGAGACCTTCACTGTAACTGCTCTGGGGGCCCATGATTTCTGTATTCTTTATTTGGATAAAATGTGACTGATTCTTTTCCTTAAGGGCCAACATGCTCTTCCAAAGTCAATTCTGCTGTAACACTTGTTTTGAAAACTTGAATTTGTACCAATTGATATATTAGGGAACAATTTGACCATAACACAAATTTTGTGTTTGCTTATGCACAATTTTGTTCACGAGAAACATTAGGTGAATACAGAAAACTATACCCACCTCCAGCAAGCCACGTAGGAATACCAGAATGCACACCGCAGATATTTACCAGCTTTTCTCAGTATGAGCCACAGCCATCCACATGTGGTGTTAACAACTTCCTGTCTGATTTCAGATAATCCTCCTTTTGACACTTCACTCAGAGTGGAAAAAAAAGAGAAGGATCACTTTCAAAAGATACCATATGTTGAATTATCTCAGATCTGTTGTGTTTGAACTAATACACAGAAAAGTTAAAACCTTTAGCCGTCACTTGATTCTTAAGCTCTTTCATAAGAAATGGAATAGAACCTGTTTGTTTGTTTGGAAAGTGAATAATTTATTTAGAAATATAATTTTCATGCAAAGATTTAAGATGCTGTAACACAGCTGTTAACTTTTTTCTAATTGGAACTTTCTTTATAACCATTGTTTTATTTTTATTT